CACTTGTAGCCAAAATCAACATAGTACATCTCTTGTACTCTTGTTTTCTTTGGCTGCAAACCTGGATTGACCATTACAACAGTTTGATGTGCATAATGCTTTCCTACATGGAGAATTGTCTGAAGAAATCTATATGGATCCTCCACTAGGGTGTATTTTACCAGGGAAACATAGCCAAAAGGTATGTAAGTTAAGAATTACTGTATGGGTTAAAACAACCTCCGAGGGCATGGTTTGGGAGGTTCACCAAAGCTATGAAGTTTTTGAGCTACCATCAGAGCAATTCAGATCACACACTATTCCTTAAAAAACAAGGAAAAATCACTGCACTTATTGTATATGTGGATGATATGGTGGTTACAGGAAATAATCCAGAAGAAAGGAAGGCTCTGCAAAAGTACTTATCAGAAGAACTTGAGATGAAAGACCTAGGTTCTTTAAAATATTTTCTTGGAATTGAAGTGTCTCGATCTAACATAGGTATCTTTCTATCACAAAGAAAGTATGCCTTGAATGTGTTGTAGGAAATTGGTATATCAGCATGTCAACTAGTTGATACACCAATCGAAGAAGGCTTGAAATTAGGAGTCGAGACTGATTAAGTACTAGTTGACAAAGGGAGATACTAGAGACTTGTGGGAAGATTGATGTACTTGTCTCGCACTAGGCCAGATCTTGCTTATGCATTGAGTATAGTCAGTCAGTTCATGCATAATCCTGGAGAGTAGCATATGAACGCAGTTATGCGTATCCTAAGATATTTAAAACATGCTCCTGGAAAGGGAATCTTGTTTTCTAAAAATAAGGACTACCAAAATGTGCATGCATATATTGATGCTGATTAGGCTAGAGCAGTGGATGACAGACGATCTAGAGCAGTGGATGACAGACGATCTACTTTTGGTTATTTCACTTATGTAGGAGGTAATCTAGTCATGTGGAGAAGCAAGAAATAGAATGTTGTGGCACGCTCAAGCGTTGAAGTAGAATTTAAGGGAATGACACTTGGGATTTGTGAAGCTTTGTGGCTAAGATTTCTACTACAAGATTTGGGTTATCAACCTAATCAACCAATCCAGTTATATTGTAACAATAAAGCAGCATGTGACGTTGCTCATAATCCAGTTCAACATGATTGTACGAAGCACGTTGAAGTAGATAGATTTTTCATCAAAGAAAAACTGGATGAAAAGATTATTGAACTGCTCAAGATTTGATCAGAGGATCAATTGGCCAATATTCTTACCAAGGCTGTCTCCAAATGTATTTTCTCACAAGTGTTAGACAAGTTGGGCATGTGTGACATCTATGTACCAACTTGAGGGGGAGTGTTAAGATTTCCATAATATTATGTAAATATTTTGTAATCATGTAAATATTATGTAATCTTTTAGTTATGTTAGGTATATGATCTCAGAATATTCTAGAGATTATGTAATCTCCTAATTATGTCAGACTGAATATTGTGTAATCGTAATTGACATAATTAGAGGATTTAGGAGATCATATACTCCCTATATAAAGGGTGTAACTCCTTAGTGATAAATCAATGAATTGAAAATACAATTCTTCAAATTTACAATCACCTCCAATTCATCAGTGATAACTCCTATGATTACCTTAAGTAGTTGAAAATGGAAAGGAAGAATGAGAATCGATTATTTATAAGTAAGGAGCTTTGAGTTGTGGAGATGTTAGAAGTGAAGGTGCTATTTATGGGAGCTTTGAGTTGTGGAGATGTTAGAAGTGAAGGTGCTATTTATGGGCCGGGGATACAGAATTTTGAGATTTATGAGAGCTGAAAATTTAATTGCTTATCTTTTTTTTTTTTTTTTATCACGTAATCTGACTTGACTAAATAGAATATGCCTTGCAGAAGAATTTTCTTGGGGTTGGACAGATCCTTCTAGTATTAACACAAGAGCGAAAAAACAAAACAAAAACATTAGTTCCTTTGTAAAAGTTTTAAGTAATATAAGTACCTGCAGAAAATGGAAATCTCTGCTGTAAAGTAGATTTTACTATTGGCAGAAGAATGAAGATGATGAAGTTCAAAATTTTAGTCATTATAGCGCTAAATGCATGTCCATGAATTCTTGATAAAGTCACTCAATGGCAGAATTAGTTCAACTTAAATTTAAGAATGAATGGATTTAGCCTAGTCACGGAATGCAGGTTTTATTTTTATTTATTTTTTAATAAACGGCTTTTTCCTACCCAAGGTTTGTCTTAACGACACTTTTTCACCCAAAAAGTTTCAAAATACCACTTTACCAACCAAACGTTATGTTCCATTAATAATTTTTGTTAAATATAGTGATATTCATTGTGAAGATGGAAATACCCTTCTCTCTTTTTCTTCTCTTCTCTTCTTAGCCTCCATCGTGGCCAAAACCACCACCAACTCCACCTCCTCCTCCTCCTGCTCCACTACCACCACCAATACCACTTCCATCTAATCTAATTTTTTTTAATCAATCAACCCACCATTCAATCAATTCCAATCAATAGTAAAAACAAACACAACAACTCTCTAAAATCCGACAATAAGGGGTCATCGGCATGCGTGTAGAGGCAGTCGCGTGGGTGTGGCGCACACAGGTGTGGGCTATTGGAAATTGGCTTGGGACTTTCGTCAAGCAGTTAGTGGAGGTGGTTTAGAGCTTCATAAATCCGACGATAAGGGGCCACCGGTGGCCAAAAAATCAAATCCACACACACTCAAAGCACTTTTACGACTTCCAATTTCAAAAATCAACCTCCAAAATGCCCTAATTTCATTAGACGAGCAAAAACCCCAATTTCGTAAAGAAACAAACCCTAGAGAGGAGGACAATATTGACAAGTGAACGGTGTTGGGGTGGAGGTTTTGGATAGGGGGTGCTGGTGAGAAGAATGGTGGTGACAGGGGTGGTTTTCAGTGAAGGAGTTGACTAGAATCAGCAAAAATCACTCGGCCAAAATAGTGGGCTGTAGCCAGTGATTGGTGGGACGAATAGGGAGGGGGAAACATGGGTTTTGTTCAGGAGGCTGAAGGGAGTGCTTTGGTGGTGTCGGGGGTAGTTGTTGATGTCGAAAAAGGGCTGATAAGGCCTAGGTTGGTTGTCTTGTGCGGTGGAGGATTTTGCGAAAAAAAGTTTGATTTCAACCAGATCTTGGGCAAATTTGGGGAATGGCTCAATGGATGAAAGGGGTGAATATATCTATTTATTTGGTGAAGAAATCAATGGAAAACAACACCCAAATGGCGGCGGCAGCATCGACAAAGGTGAGGTTATGTGGAAGATAAAAAGATTGAGTTTATTTAGGTGGCGGTGGGGGTTTTCTAGAGTAGGTTAATTGATCATCATACCCTTACTTATAACGGACTTTTGATCATCTTGTCCTTCTTCACAATGAAATTTACTAACGGAACTGTGCTATGGGTAGTAAACTGATATTTTGAAACTTTTTAGAAGGAAAAGTATCATTAAGGCAAACCTTAGGGGGGAAAAAGTCGTTTACTCTTTTTTAGTAAGCTGTAAGTCAGTTAATACAAACGGAGTTTCTTTAGAAAGACAAACATTAAGGTACTTATTCTTGTCATGGTATAGCATTCAGACTATCCATGATATATCTTGCATTTGAACCCTATTTTGAGTTAAAAAATTATAATAACAATAACAAAACAATGAAGTCTTGTTGATGTATTTGGCAATTGGTCCAATACATTATCAAAGATTATTTGACTAGGTTTGTGTTTTGATGTTGCATATTGAATGGACGTGTGAGTTAAATATTGCAACAAGAATTAATTAATTAGAACTTATCACCTACCAGTCTGGATGGTGACCACGTTCCCACGTACTTACATTAACCAATATTCAGATATAATATTCAACAGAATGTGAATTATAAAATTCAAAATTCCTGCCCATTCGACTTCTATGTATAATTATATTTGGAGTCAAGGACTTCGTGCTGCTATAAAACAGAAGGTGTCATGAGTCTATTTTTCTTTTCCACCAACCGAATATTGCTCTTAAAAAATAGTTTAATTTATTTATGAATAAAGGATGCTTCCGTGAAATGTGGCTATATATATAATTGATAGATATTCTATATTTTACTAGTCAATAATAATATATTCACCTGAAAATATCGTAAACTAAAATTATTGCGGAGACCATTACACAGAGAAAAGAGATAGGCGTACTAAAATTTACTAAAAGATAGGCTTCAATGGCCTTGAACATTCCTGAAGCCTTTTCTTTCCCACCCTTGATTTGTTCTTCCATGATATACTCTTGCACATGGATCCGCCATCCATTGTAATTAACTTAGATGCATTTAATTAACTGAAGGGAGGATGGTAATGCGGAGGAGGAAGATTGGTTGATTTTTAGGTAGATTTTGAGGTTAGAGATGAAGAACTGAGTGTGAAAAATTGAGACACTGTTATCTAAAATGGTACTTGCAAATTATACAGTCATTATCGTTTGTAACAAGTAAATTGCAAGAAGAAAGAACAGTTTTAATTGGTCAAGAGCCTTAGGAGAAGGAATAAAAGAGCTGGAGGGAAATTATTCTCAATTAATTGAAGAGACAACAAGCTTGACTGAAGACTGGCTGCTGTGGAAAACAATGGGGTATGGGGACATCAATATTTAATTGTTTCCTTCAGTCGTTATTTTAGAAAATATGATCTCATCTCATGAAACTGTTTCGATTGAAATTTTATTGTCTGATTGCGAATGCCTTACATCAATCGACCCAAAATATTATACTATGTTTACTTATCTTAGTAATCTACCTTATTATAAACTTTAATTAATTCTGTAAGATAGATGAAATAGATATATGGAAATGTAATAATTGGTACCAATGCATAGGGGATATGAATTGGAGTAAAATCCGGGGTTGAATCTTATGTTTTTTTTTTTTTTTTTCATTTGCAAGTACATTTTCACAAAATACATAAAAGATCTCGTAACAAGCCACTTTTATCACGCCCAAGGTAGTATTAGAATCATTAATGATCCATGATCCACTTATTTTTGGTAAATGGTAAAGCAAACCACACAAATAGCTTGAGAAAAGCAAACACATAACATCTTAACAGGCATCAGGATTAGTTGGCCTGGAGGTATGCTTCAACAGCTTTGACCATGACGGCTGTCTTTTCTTTTGCCTTGTTAATCAAATTCTCTCCGGGGACATCAAAGCCAGGTAAGGTGTAGAATTTGACAGTGGACTTAAAGATGGATCCTCCGTCAGGAGATGACTCCCACTTGGTCTCATAACTAATTTTCTCGAATTTGTTAGCCAACATGTCACCTTCAAAGATGGTATAGCAGTGCACGAAGTTTTCTTTGTCTAGTGCATCAACCTTTTGCTTCATGTAAGTGTCGTCTGCATAACGAAAAACAATCAAGAGTTAGTGCTATTTTTTCAAGGATGCAACAAGTTTTAACAACAATTTAGTGATCATCTTGGTGTAAATTAACTAACCTTCCACAAGGTTAACTTTCCTGATGCTTCCAGCCCCTCCATCACCTTCGATGAGTTCGGCACTCTTAATAGCTTGTGACATAATCTTGGGGAAGAGTTGATCAGCGTCAAGGACAGAGGCCTTGAACATCTTGGCTGGGGGGAGGACACTAGCGACCTCAATTTCACCGGTGACAACTCCCATGATTACCTTAAAAAGTATAAAAGTTTAAGTAACTGAAAGTCTGAAAATGAAAAGGAAGAATGAGAAGTGATTACTGATAAGTAAGGAGCTTTGAGTGGTGGAGATGTTAGAAGTGGAGGTGCTATTTATAGGCCGGGGATTCAGAATTCATGGCACACAGCTGAATATTCAAATCCCTTATCTTTTTTTTAGTCAGGTAATCAGACTTGACTAAGAATATGCCTTGCCAAAAAAATTCCTTGGACCGGATAGAACCTTCTAATATTAACACAAGAACAGATAAACAAAACAAAATATTAGTTCCTTAGTAAAAGTTCTATGTAATATAAGTACAAGCAAATGGAATCACTGCTATCATAGACATTTTACAATTGACAGAAGATTAATTAACTTCAATTTTTTACTCCTTTAAGAGTTAAATGTCCATGAATTCTCGATAAAGTGCACTTAGTGGTGATCACAGAGTGCAAATTTTATTTTTATATTAATTTTTAATGAAGCTGTAATTCAATTAATACAAATGGAGTTTCTTCAAAAAGTTCTTTTCATGGTAAAGCATTTAGACTATCCATATTTATTGCATTTGAACCCTTTTTTGCGTTAGAAAAAAATTAATAATAAATATAAAGTTTGGCTTGATATGTTGGAGATCTCATATTGAGTAGGCACACTTAAGCCAATGGGTTTATAAGAGTGGGTAATCCTCCTACTCAATAAGACTTTTTGGGTGGGGAGTTAGGTCAAACTTCAACAAGTGGTATCAAAGCCAGCCCCATTTGAGCTGAGTGATTGATCAGCGGTGGACTGTCAAACTACCTCCATTCATAGGCAAATGGACCATATGGGCTTGACCGTGAGGGAGAGTGTTGGAGATCCCATATCGACTAGACACGCTCAAGCCAATGGGTTTATAAGAGTGGGCAATTCTCCCACTCAATAAGGCCTTTTGGTGAGGAGTTAGGCTCAACTCCGACATGATGTATTTGGCTATTAGATCCGATCCATTATCAAAGCCTAATATTTGACTTGGTTTGGGTTTTGATCTTGCATAACTGAGTCCTGTCTTATCTGGGATTTGGTTCTTAGTTATCAATTCATCAAAGGAAAATAATACAGCTACCGACGGTAGTGCACCGAATGACGTGACAAAATCCTGACCGTTTATTAATTTTAACTTAATATTAATCAACGGTCAGGATTTTGCCACGTCATTCAATGCACAAATTCAGTGCACTACTGTCGGTGGCTGTAGCATTACTCTTCATCAAATGCAGCCATGGCCATGAAAAGCAAAAATATTACAACGATAATTGATTATGACGAATCACCTACCAGTGTGAATTGTGATCATGTTCTCATTTTCTCCAATGTTACCTGACCAATTGTTCATATATAATAATCAACAGAATGTGAACTATAAAAAGAGAAATTGCCGGCCATTCAACTTCTATAATTAACTATAGCTTATGAACCGTCAGTTGACTCTCTTACAGCCAAGGACTTTGTTCTGCTCTAGACAACATTATATTTTAAAACTGGTTTATATCTATTAAGGGACGATGCAATTGCGTGAAACGTGACTGTATATAATTGATAATACTTTCAATGAGCAGCAGTTATGAACCTTAAAGTCAAGGACTTCGTGCTGCTATAAAACAGAAGGGGAGTTTTATTTTTCTTTTCCACCTAACGAATATTCCTTTTAACAAACAGTTTTATTTATGAATAAAGGATGCTTATGTGAAATGTGGCTATATATAACTGATGGATATTCTACATTTTACTAGTCAATAACAATATATTAACCTGAAAATATAGCAGAGACGTCTGGCATCTCAAGAGATTACATTACTTTGCATAGGTTTTCTGGTATCCCAAACAAATTTATCTGTATATATGCATGATTACATTGTGAATAGTGATTATTCAGGAGTCAGGATAAGGCACCAGTTATTTCCAAGTGATGGCTTGACTAAAGGATAATATTTAGTATATTTATTGTAAACTGAAAACAACAGATTGTTTGTTTCAATAAAACATTCAAACATTGCAAGCCACTTGTGGTCAGTCGCCAAGGCTTATTAAGCACACAGTAACAGCAAAGACTTTCTCGGCATACAAAAATCGACCTTTTCAACAGGCGTCTAGGATTTCCAAAATAGAAAATAGGCTTCAATGGCCTTGAACATAAATATTATTACCTGTTGGTTTTTAAGAGCCGTTGAACTCTAAGGAAAGATAAGGAGAGAATGAAAAGAGTTGAACCAAAAATTTCATTACACTGCAACTTACAATATATACAACAAAAGCATACTGTTTTACCAATTGCAACAACCATTCAGACTTTTAAAATTTAAAACAAAGTTGGCAACTAATACAACCTTAATCTAAGCTGATTTCACCTAAACATGTCACTAAAAAAACAACTACTACAGCAACTTCAATTTCGGCAGTCAGGGAGGAATGCAGCAGCTGCTTGGCACCAAAACACATTCAAAAAACCAAACTAACTTTTAACTGAATTTCCAGCAAATTATCAATGTTTCAACACTCCTCCTTGATAATTTTGCTGGAAACACCAAGTCTGATCCTAAAGCCTTCAAACTTGTTTTTGGATAATCCCTTAGTTAGGATGTCAGCCACTTGATCATCACCATTGCAGTGGACCAGAACTTCCCCTTCTTGCTCAGCTTCTCTCACTGCATGGAACTTGATCTTTATGTGTTTAGTTCTCCCATGATGGACTAGATTCTTAGTCATAGCCACAGCCGATTGATTGTCACACATTATCATAGTAGGATGTCTCTGCTTCAGCTTCAAATCTTCCAGGATTTTCTCAACCAGACAGCTTGGTTCATAGCAGCTGCAGCCGAAATGTATTCTGCTTCTACTGTGGATTGTGCAACCGTTTCTCATTTCTTTGATAGCCAATAGATTGCACCATGATTCAGGAAGAAAGCATACCCTGAAGTGCTCTTTATGTCTTCCACAGAACCACCCCAGTCACTATCAGAGAATCCTTTTAGGCCAAAGTTTTCTGACCTCTTAGACCATACTCCAAAGTTGGTGCTCCCTTTCACATACTTGAGCACTCTTTTTGTAGCTTTAAAATGTGTTTCCTTGGGTTGATTCATGAACCTAGATAGTAAACTTATTGCAAACATGATATCAGGCCTGGTTGCTATTAGGTACAGCAAGCAGCCAACCAAGCTTCTGTACTATCCCTCATCAACACTTTCTGCATTATCATCCTTTGACAGCTTCAGATTTGGAACTAGAGGAACATCCACTGATTTGCAATTTTCCATATTGAATTCCCTCAAAACTTCAATTGCATACTTCTCTTGATTAACAAAAATTCCAGTTGAGCTTTGATGAACCTGCATCCCAAGAAAGTAAGCCATTTCACCTAAATCTGTCATCTCAAACTCATCAAGCATGGAGCTCTTGAATTCCTCCAGTTGAGTTGGTTTGCTCCTGTCACAAGTAGATCATCAACATACAAGGAGATGATCATAACATCCTCATCAATCTCCCTAACATACAATGTGTGCTCATTTGGACTTCTTACAAAATCCAAACTCAGCAAATGATCATTTATTCTGTTGTACCAGGCCCTTGGTGCCTGTTTCAGGCCATACAAGGCCTTCCTTAGGAGATAGACTTTGTCTTCCTTTCCCCGACTTTGTACCTTTCCGGCTATTCAACATATATCTCCTCATTCAGCCATCCATTAAGGAATGCAGATTTGATGTCCAACTAAAATATTTTTGATGCAAATTGGGCTGCCACTGCAAGCAATAACCTGATTGTGTCATGCCTTGCAACTGGTGCAAAGGTGTCCAGAAAATCAACACCATACTGCTGAGCAAAACCTTTGACAACCAGCCTTACTTTGTGCTTAAGGACTGAACCATCTGGATTGAGCTTCTTCTTGAAAATCCATTTAACTTGGATCACTTTCCTGTTCTGAGGTCTATCCACCAAGTTCCAAATTCGATTCTTCTCAATCATTGCAAGCTCTTCCTTCATGGCAACTCTCCAAACTTCTGATTTTGCAACCTCAAAGTAACATGTTGGCTCAAGTGAGGCTATGTTACATCTCTCATAAACCTCAGCTAAAGGTCTGGTACCTCTAACTGAAATTTCTTCTTCTGCATCACTCTTAACATCATAAAAAATTTGATCATCTACAGCTTCTATCCAGCTTGGTTTTGTCTCCACATCAACTCTATTTTCTTCCCAATTCCATACTCCATCCTCTTCAATTTTGACATCCCTGGAAGTCTGAATTTTTCTGGTTTCTGGAACATACACCCTATAGGCTTTAGATTGACTATTATAGCCTATTAAAATGCCAATTAAGGCCTTTCATCTAGCTTGGACCTTTTTGCTGCTGGAACCAAAATGTAGCATATATTTCCGAATATTTTGAGCCTATCTACTGCTGGTTTAACTCCATACCATGCTTTATAGGGTATTTTGCTGTCTAAGGCTTTTGTGGGAAGCCTATTGAGCAGAAACACTACTGTATTGACAACTTCTGCCCAAAATTTCTTTGGCAACCTCTTCTTAGCTACCATACATCTAGCATCTCTACAACTGATCTATTCTCCCTCTCACTAACTCTATTTTGATGTGGAGTGTAGGGGCTGCTGTATTGATGCTTAATTCCAACATCCTTGCACACTTGTTCAAACTCTTGGGAAGTGTATTTTGTACCAGTATCACTGCTCAAGATTTTTAAAGTTTTTCTAGCTTAATTTTCCACCAGCAACTTCTCTTTTTTGCTTCAAAAAATACACCCAACACATCCTAGAATAGTCATCAATAAACACACAAAGTACCTACTTTCACTCAATGACAAAGTTTCCATAGGACCACATACATCTGTATGAATGAGCTGCTCTCCAGGCTTGGTTTGCAGGGAAGGATTGCCTACTCAACTTGCCAAGTTGACAGGCTTGGCATATGGTAATACTCTCCTCTAATTTTGGCAGATTTTGGACCAGTTTCTTGGTCTGAATTTCCT